TGGTATTTCTTATGCTGCTAATTCCAGCAGTGAAATGTGAAAGACTGGGTGTATTCTTATTCTATGAGATAATGCTAACTTATAGTTAACTGGAGAGATTTGTTGCAAGATTTTGAAGAATTCTAATTTTTTGTAATCGAGTTTATTGCTGGATTTGGTTATTTTAATGTTTTTTCGAAGTAGATAAGCCTTATCTTCTTTCTATAGAATTAGTTTCTCAATTCTTTTGAAGTTTGCATATTATACTATTCGTTTCTGAATGAATTATAGTTCTGATCGGAGTTTCTTCTGAATTTTCTTAATCTTCTTAATTCTTTTATCCGCAGCTTCTGCATCTGCTTCTAGTAATACTTTGTAATAAGCTGTTAAGTTATATCTATAGAATATAAAGAATAGTGATTTCTTTGTTATACTTGTATTTGCATTATTATAAGCGAATTATGCAAAAGATAATAGATTAATTCAGTTATTCTATTTCTGATTAATATAGTATTGTAGATATTATTTAATAACTTGATTTATTCTTTCCGTTTATTTATTTATTTATAAGTAAAATGCTATGAATATTCTATAATATATTTCAAGCTATTTCATAAGCAAAGTTCAAAACTTTGAATTAAACTTTCTATTTCTGTTAAAGATTACTTCTTCTAGCATGCTATGATTAGCAATAATCGTTCTGAGAAATGCATATGCAAGTTCTTCTGCTATACTGCTTTTCTTATAAGAAAGAAAGTAAGCATATTTGCTTAGTTTGCAAACTACTACTAGAATGCTATTATATTGCATCTTAGTTAAGAATTCTTGTAAGAGAAGTAGCTTAATAATAAAGTTTAGACTGATGAATTGCTAAACAGTTATAAGTACTAATAAGGGATGTAGTAGTTCATAAAGCTTATATCTTTCTGCTTTATTCTTTTTGCAGCTATTGCATTATTATAGAATGCTTTCAATCCTTTTCCTAAAATCTAGTAAGCTCTAGTATCTTTTGATGCATTTATAGATTGTTCTAATTCTCTAATGTTTATATGCTAGTACATTATATACATTTCTGATATAGTTGTTTTGTTTGTTCGGAGTTATTAATTCTGAATTCCTTTCTAAGAGTTCGATTCTGAGAGCAGCATTCAGTTCTCTATATGCATTAATGAGATTTCCTGATTCATCTTAAGCAAAGATGTTCTATATATTCGAAGAGTTTGCATCTTAATAGTTTAATCTTTTGCTAAGAGCATCTGCTTATTCATTTTCCAAGCTTTTGCAGTATACAATCTTAAAGTTAAATTGTAAGAAGAATTCTGCTTATCTAATTTATTGCTTATTCAAAATCTTGATTATTATGAATGTAGTTAGATTCTTATGATTCGAATAAACTATAATTGAGTATTATATGCTAATGAAGTAGTATTGCTATTTTTCAAAAGCTTTTATTATTGCTATAAGTTTCTGATTAAGGATTCTGTAATTAATTTCTGAGCTATTCAACTTCTTTAAAAAGTTGCTTATAATTCTTAGATATTCTTGATTGTTTTGCTAGCTAAGTTATTTTCCGAGTGCATATTCCAATATATTAGTTTCAACTTCAAAGGGTTTGTAAGGATTTGCTTTATATAGAACTAGCTCTGAAGTAATATGCTTAATGATCTTATCAAAAGCTTCTTGTGCTTTAAAGGTTTATTCGAAGGATTGCTCCTTTTTAATAAGATTTGTAAGAAAATGTGCGATTCAGCTGTAGTTCTTAATAAACTGCTTGTAGAAGTTGATATATTCGAGGAAAGACTTAATATCTCTAATGTTTCTGAGAACTAGCTAATTTCTAACAGCTTTTATCTTGTTTTTCTATAGCTTAATGCATTCTAGCTTGATTGTGAATCCGAGGTAGTTGATCTTTTGTATATGAAAGTAATTCTTTGTAAGTTTCATAAGGAGTTTTGCATCTTGAAGCGTTTGCAATACTGTTTTCATATATTTCTTGTATTCTTTCAATATTCGAGAGTAAATAAGAATGTTGTTAAGATAAGCAATGATGAACTGATTCAGATGCTTATATAGAATATGATTGATTATTTTCTGAAATAAAGCTGAAGCATTTGTTAGATTAAAAAGCATAATCAAATATTCGTAATATTTATAGCATATTCTGAAAGCAGTTTTTCATTCTTTTTCTTTCTTTATTTTGATCAGATTGTAAGCTTCTTTTAAGTCTAGAGCTATAAACTATTATGCTTCTTGTAATCTATTTTGTAATTCTTTGATAAATAGTAGCAAGTATTGGTTTTTAATTATAATATTGTTGAGTTGTTTATAATCAATATATAGCTTAAGCTTGCTATTTTTCTTAGATATAAATAGAATAGGATATTCTGCTGATAATTGCAATGATTATATATATTTCTTTTTAAGATTCTTATTGAAATATTTCTTAAGTGCTTCTAGTTATACTTTATCTAATCCATAAATGAGAAAGAATTTGAGCTGTTTTCCTTCTTGTAGCAGAATCTCGTGATTGTATGAGCTGTATTCTGGCAATCCTGTATTCAATTCTTTCTGGAATAGTTTCTTGAATTTGTAATATTCTCATAGTATATTCGCGAGTATTGGTTCTAATTTCTATACTGTTTCTGCTATCTGGAGGAATAGTAAGTACTGTTAAGCATGCTTCTTTTCTGATAGCGTTTTCGAGGGCTTTGAGCGTTCGCTTCGAGCTGGATCGAGTGCTTGAGAGTTTGGTTTCGAGGTTTTTCTCGTATAAATTTACAATTCACTTTCTGAAGCTTTTCCTTATTGCTCCGAAGCGGATTAACTTGCTGAGGATCTCGATTCTATTGTTTTACTAACTTATTAGCGCTTTAGCATTATTTGGATTCGCTTGTTACTAGATTCTTCTTCTTGAACTGCTAGCTTTGCTAACTTGAAAATATGTATGAAGTTATATAAAGCTTCTTTTTCTGAGTATTCTTCAACTACTAGCTTCGATTCTATACTATTGATTGTGATTATTTCTCTAGATATAGCTTGTTCTTATAAGATCTAGCTAGTAGTTTAATTAATTCGAGGATTGTGCTTTTTAAGCTATGAAAGCTTCATAATCAGCTTATGCTATACTGTATTTGTAATATTAAAGAAAGCTCTGATTATATATTCTTGGATTAAGATAAGTAGATAATTAGTTTTCTTATTGATTATTTCTTGATTGTATGCAATAGATTGTTTTTTTATAGTGCTGAGAATATATAAGCATCTTTTTCATCTTCATTGTAATTATGCTTAATTGATGATGTATAAGAATATGAAGTTTCTCTGAGCGCTATTATTTAATAGTGTACTGCACTTGTATTCTTGAATATATATATTGAACTTAATATGAGTATAATCTGTTTTGAAAGCTCTATATAGGAACTATTTCAGTCTGATTATCTGCAGTTCCTTTACAAGCAATTCTGTTCTTTTGAGTTTGTTGAGAGCTGCTTGTTCTTCTAAGCCTGCTTTGCTGCTTCTTAAGCAAGCTTCTTAGCTTGTTTTTGCTTATATTATTATTATTCCTGATCTTTCTTCTGTTGATGCTAGTTGCGAACTTTGTTATTAATATGAATTATACAAAGTATTATCTTATACTGCTATCATTTTATCTTCTTGTTTATATATTGCATGGAATAGTTGTTTAGTAGCTTGATGTATATATTGTAGTGCTGTTTATTGAGAACTTCTCTGAAGCAGAGTTTCTTTTTCTTAATAGCTTGAAGGATTTGTTCTGATTCTCTGATAAGAAACTATTTATATTATATCTTGTTCGAAAAATGCGTTTTGCAGCTATGATAGGTGCAGGAGATTCATGCTAGTTCGTGGTATAGATTGTGAAGTAAGCTGATCTGAGGATTCTTATCTTCTTATGCTTTAATGTTCTGCAAGGGAATGCAGATAAAGAGTTCTTCCAGCTTTATTTCGTAAACGAGATATTCAACTCATATTGTTTCCTTATTCTATTCAATGCTGAAGGGAAATCTTCTTGTAAGCTTCTTAAGTTTGTTGTTCACGAAAGATTCTAGTGAATCGTTAAGCTGTTTATTATAGCTTGATTCTTTCATTGCTTGAGAAGCATTTTCAGTATTATTTATGTATTCATATCAGTAATCAAGAGGGTATTATTCCTTATTCATATTTCTAATTATAGTGATTAGTGTAGATAATGAGGAATAATAAAGAATATTGTTGCTAAGCTTTTCTTTCAATGCTTGAATGCTCTGTTTCACAATATCAGAGCAGTTTAAGTTGCTACTTATAAGAATGCTAAACATGCACTCTCATTCTGCTATTGCTATTTGTCTGCAGCGCCTAGATTTCTGAGAGAACTATTCTAAATCTTTCTTACTCAAAAGATATATTAAGCAGTTATTATTATAACAGAATATTCAGCTAAGACTTCTGTAATTAATAGAGTTTAATACTTGCTTCAAGGGAATGTTTTTGCTTAGTTAATTGAGTTTCTGTTGTTAAGCAATATTCATTTAGCATTCTTTCTGAATTGATTGCTATTTATTCTTTCGGAATTAATAGCAGTTGCATGCAATATATTCTTATTTGTTGTAATTGTAGCAAATAATGCTATTTCTTTTGTTATACTGCTTATTAGCTGTATTGAGTTCTATAAGATTGGTATGCATAGTGCTGCTCTAAGCTATACTGCTATATTAATTGCTATTCTTGTTTTGAAGTTTCTTGCTTGTATTAGCTAAAAATCTTCAAATCTAGCTTCCTTTCTTCTTGAACTTCTCTATCTATTGTTTATATAAACAATTATTAATGCGAATAGCTTGATTGAAGAATGTTATAAAGTTCTCTAGCTAATTCTGCTTGGAGATTTTATTTTTAATATTATTCTTAAGTTCCTTGTAATAATACTTTATAAGATTCTTATCTTTCTATGAAAGTTGTACTAAGAGTTATTTAAATCTAATTGTATAAGCAGAAGCTGATTTGATCTGCTTGAGATTTATAAGCTGCTAAGCTATAGTATGTTCTTTATTAGAGTTATTAAAGATCTCTTTGAGAGCTTTCTTAAAGCTTTTAAAGAAATCAAATATATTCTTAGTATTCTGAGTATGTATGCTAAGGCTATTCTGATGCTTCAAGTAGTTGCATAGAGAAAGCTTGTATCAGATAAGAGTATTCTTTTCGAAATGAGTTTCTGCAAGAATAATCTTCTCAGATTTCTTGGTGAACTGAGTTTCGTAATACAGGAAATATGCTCTGCAGTAAATGAGGAATCTATACAGCATTTTTTGATTGCTATTATATATAGCGAGCTTATTTATCTTGTATGCTTTTCCAGCGCTACTGGTAATTGTAGAGATAAACTGCGCTTGCTAAGCTTATTAAGCTAGCTGAGCCTGTTAGTTAGCGATAGTAGCGCTCTAAGCCTGCTGTTGTTTGCGCAGATTCTGAATACGCTAAATAAGCTGATATATCTAGTTAACCAGTTCTTTCTGAATAAGAGCGCATAAGAACGAAAGGATTTCTAAAGGAGCTATTGTATTCCGTATTGCTCAAGGGAATAATATTGAACTGTTCTTGAACAAGAGTTGTCAAAATGTAATAAGCATTATAGCAATCCGAAGATTTCTAAGTATACAAAGAGGTTTATGCTAATAAGAGCAGTATCAAAGTATTAAGTTCTTGAATACAGAACTGTATAAGTTCTAATAAGCGATGCAAGTGTTTACTGCTTTTGGAGCTACTTAGTATATAAAACTGAATATTTAGATTAATAACTGAAGAACTACTTAAAGGAAATCTATCTAATAGCAGGAAATGTAAATCTTCATATATTCAGTTCTTCAGTTCGGATAGATAGGATTGATATCGATTCTATTGATTCTCTTATCGATGGGATAGATGTTAACTGTATCTATCCGCTAATAACTCTAACTCTGAGTTATGTAATCGATGCTTTGTTAGGACGTTGAACCCTTAGCATCTGGTCCCTGTTACTCGTGACCTGTTCTGTGACCTGCATGTTGAATGAGTTATAACACAATAGTAAAAGCTTTTGAAAAGTAGCAATACTATCTTATTAGCATATAATATCTAATCATAGTTTACTCGGATTATAAGAATCTAACTACATTTATAATAACTAAGATTTTGAATAAGCAATAAGTTAGATGAACAGAATTTCTCTTACAGTTCAATTTCAAGATTGTATACTGCAAAAGCTCGGAAAACGAACAAGCAGATGCTCTCAGCAGAAGATCAGACTATTGAGATACAGATTCCTTGAATATATAGAATATCTTTGCTCAAGATAAGTTGGAAAACCTTGTTAATGTATATAGAGAACTGAATGCTGCTTTTAGGATTGAATCTTCGGAAAAAGATTCAGAATTAATGATTTCAGACGAACAAGATAATTATATTAAGAATATATACAGTGCACTAGCATATAAGCATCAGAGAGTTAAAGCAATTTATAAATGCATTAAAAGATATTGAAACTTATTAGATCTTAAGAAAAGAATTGAAAGCATTTTATAATAATGCAACAGCTGCAAGAAGAATAAAGCAGAAAGATACAAGCTTTATAAACTATTGCATTTCTTACTAATACTTATAACTATTTAGTAATTTATTAATCTAGATTTTATTATTAAGCTATTTCTCTTATAAGAACTCTTAATTAAGATGCAATATGATAGCATTTTAGTAGTAGTTTGCAAACTAAGCAAGTATGCTTATTTTCTCTCTTATAAGAAAAGCAATACAGCAGAAGAACTCGCATATGCATTCCTCAGAACAATTATTGCTAACTACAGCACATCAGAAGAAGTAATCTCCAATAGAGATAGAAAGTTCAACTCGAAATTTTGAACTTTACTTATAAAACAGCTCGGAATATATTACAGAATATTCACAGCATTTTACTCACAAATAAATAAACAAACAGAAAAAATGAATCAGATTATCGAATAATATCTTCAATACTATATTAATCAGAAATAAAATAACTGAATTAATCTATTGCTTCTTATACAGTTTGCTTATAATAGCACAGATATAAGTATAATAAAGAAATCACTATTTTTTATATTCTATAAATACAATCTAACAGCTTATTACAAAGTATTATTAGAAGCAGATGCAGAAGCTGCAGATAAAAAAGTTAAGAAGATCAAGAAAGTTCAGAAAGAACTCCAATTAGAATTACAATTCATTCAAGAACGAATGATACAATATGCAAACTCCAAAAGGATTGAAAGATCAATTCTACAGAAGAAAGATAAGGTTTATTTATTTCGAAAAAATATCAAAATAATTAGATTTAGCAATAAGCTCAATTATAAGAAATTAGAACTATTCAAAATCTTGTAATAGATTTCTCTAATTAATTACAAGTTAGCATTATTTTATAAGATAAGAATATATCCAGTTTTTTATATCTTACTGCTAGAACTAGCAGCATAGAAAATACTAATAAATAATATAGCAGAAGTGGAAAATAATGAATCAGAGTATAAAGTAGAGAAGATTCTTAAGTATAGAAGTATGAATAATACAAGAGAATATCTCATTAAATGAAAGGATTATCTAGCAAGCAAAAATTCTTGAAAACTGCAGAAAAACATTAAAAATGCTTAGGAAAGAATAGCTGAATATTAGAAAAGGAAAACTACTACTTAAGACCTCTCTGCCCCGGAACGAGAATCAGGCGCTACAGTTTCACTCTTCAGAAAGAAAGGCCAACCAGACATGCTAGGATCAAAAGCTAAGGAACTCCAGTCGATAATCTCAAGATATCTCTGAGATATCAAGCGAGTCTCCTCTTTACAAAAACTACAATCCTTCTCATCAGCAAACCCCTCCAAGGAATTGAAACTATAATGAATTATTTCTGCAGCACACTTCTCTAACAATCTTCGCTGTTTTCGTATACAATCAAGACAAGCTTGCAATGCTAGCAAAGCTTATAGAGCAGCAGCGTTTGCTAACTCTGCTTCAGCTTTCTCGCTCAAAATCTTGCACTTTTTACAAATCAAACATCCTGCTGAAGAAGAAAATCAGTAATCATAGAAAATATTAAGAAATAAAGAAACTAACTAGCAGAGGCTGAGAAACAACTAGTATTATAGCTCTAACTCAGAGAAACATACTTCTTACAATAAGAAGAGTTTTCAGCAAAACAACAGAAAGCCTCTGTCTCTCAATAATAAGCATAAGCAAGCATTTCGATATCAAAAGCAGAAATAAGCTTAGCAAGATAATAATGCTCTTAAGTTTTTATCGAATAACTAGAATACGATTTATTAATTCTATTCAATATCTCGATTAGAAAAGTATAATTATATATACAAATAACTTGCTAGAATACTTACAGAAAATCATTAAGAATAATAATCAATAGGAGAGAGATAATATTATAATTCATTCAATATGCAGATTATCTGCTAAAATACTCAGAATAACTGTTCGGAAAAACAAAGAAGGATTCAACATCTTAAGAATTAAGGCTTATATAAGCAAGAATTAGAATTATAGAATCAGAATAAATCAGTAGCTGATTCATAGTAATCCGGATCAATTGGATTACTCAGATAATCCAAGAGATCCAACAACTAACAATATCAACAGAACTGAAGAAGCTGGATATATAAGAATACGTTCATTCCCATTAGATAGATCTTATATATAGCTCTTCAATTATCAATCTAAGTATTCAGTTTCATATACTGAATAGCTTCAAAAGCAGTGAATACTTGCATCGCTTATTAGAACTTGTACAGTTCCGTATTCAAGAACTTGATACTTTAATACTGCTCTTGTTAGCATAAACCTCTTCGTATACTTAGGAATCTTCGGATTGCTGCAGTGCTCATTACATCTATATTCAAGGATTTGATACTTTAATATTACTCTTATTAGCATAAACCTCTTTGTATACTTAGGAATCTTCGGATTGCTGCAGTGCTTATTACATTTTGATAATTCTTATTCAAGAATAGTTCAGTATTACTCTCTTAAGCAATATGGAATACGATAGCTTCTTCAGGAACCCTTTTGTTCTTGCATGCCCCTACTCAGGAAGAACTGATTAATCAGATATATTAGCTTATTTAGCATATTCAGAATCTGTGCGAATAACAGCAGGCTTAGAGCGCTATCATTGCTAATTAACAAGCTTAGCTAGCTTAGCAAGCTTAATAAGCATAGTTTACTTTTATAGCTACTAATAGTGCTGGAAAGATGTATAAGATGAATAAGCTTGCTATATATAATAGCAATCAGAAAACGCTGTATGAATTCCTTATCTACTGTAGAGTATATTTTTTGTACTATACAATTCAGTTCACTTGTAATGAGCACTGCAGCAATCCGAAGATTCCTAAGTATACGAAGGGGTTTATGCTAACGAGAGCAGTACCAAGTACAGGCCTTGAGTACGGAAACACAACTGGGGTAATCGTGCAAGTGTTTACTGCCTTTGGAGCTATCAGAGTAGAAGAGTAATCTGATACTTAGATTGATAACTGAAGAGCTATATACGAGATCTATCTAATGGGAATGAATGTGTTCTTATATATTCAGCTTTTTATTGTAGCTTATTTAGCTTATTGTAATCCATGATCTGCATTGTGATAATCCGTAATCTGTATTGTAGTGATTCAGTAAGCAGCTTACTTATGTTATTATAATCCAATTCTAACTCTTGCTTATGTAATTCCTGGTGGTTGTCCGATATTGGATTATGATATCTGGTTCCTTGTTAGCGGAGCTTGTTTCGTGATCTGTATATTGAATGGGTTATAACATCATCTCCCTTCTATCGATTATTATCTCTAATAATCTTCTGTAAGTATTCTAGCAAATTATTCGCATATATGATTATGCTTTCCTAATCGAGATGTTGAATAGAATCGAAAAGTCTCTTTCTTGAAAATCCAAACAACGCTTTCAGCTTTCTCTAACTATCAATCTTTAAGATTTTGAAATTATACTTTATTCTTTCTATATCTCGAAGGAATTGGAGTATAAGATGATAGAAGATATCAAAAGATATTCCTGTTATATTCGCTGGAATTGTTTCTGCAATGGTTCCGGTATTTCAGTAAATGCTTGTAGATTTGCTCTTTTCTGAGTTATTTCTTATTTGCTTTCTAATCCCTCTAATAGTATCTCGTATTATTACCAAGCTTAATTGTTTAGATCGGAAGAAGTTGGATGCAGAGGAAGTTCTTCTCAAGCTTCAGTCTAAATTAAGCAAAGCAACAGCTTGTTTGGTGCATTTGCGAAAACAGAAACGTTTCCTGCATAATTGTAGCGCGAAGATGGTTAGTCAGGATCTACATTCTCTGAATGAGCTGGAGGAGAAGAAGCGTTGGGAGGAGGATGCTTGGCATGCTGCTAAATCTGAAGCTGTAATTGAAGCTTAGTCTTAGGGTATTCTTAATGTAGTGGATTGGAATAACGTTTTAGGTAGGATTGCAGCATCTGATTTCTGTTCTGAAGCTTCTAGATCTCGGTTCGGGGCGGAGCGATCGTCTTAGATGCTAGCTTTCCTTTTCCAATATTCTGCTACCTTTTCCTGAGCATTTTTAATGTTTTTCTGCAGTTCTCAAGAATTTTTGCTTGCTGAGTAATCCTTCTATTTAATAAGATATTCTCTCATATTATCTATGCTTCTGTACTTGAAGATCTTCTCCATTTTGTATTCTAGTTTATTGTTTTCTACTTTCGCTGTTTTATTCATTAGTATTTCCTATATTGCTAATTCCAGCAGTGAAATATAAAAAACTGGATATATTCTTATTCTATAAGATAATGCTAATTTGTAATTAACTAAGAAAATCTATTGCAAGATTTTGAATAGTTCTAACTTCTTGTAATCAAGTTTGTTGCTAGGTTTAGTTATTTTGATATTTTTTTGAAATAGGTAAATCTTATCTTTCTTCTATAGGATTAGTTCCTTAATTCTCTTGGAGTTTGCATATTGCATTATTCATTCTTAGATGAATTGTAATTCTGATTAGAGTTCCTTCTGAACTTTCTTGATCTTCTTAACTCTTTTATCTATAGCTTCTGTATTTGCTTCTTGCAATGCCTTGTAATAAGCTGTTGAGTTGTATTTGTAAAATATAAAGAATAATAATTTCTTTATTATACTTATATCTATATTATTATAAGCGAATTATGCAAGAAGCAATAGATCAATTTAATTATTCTATTCCTAGTTGATATAATGTTAAAAATACTGTTTAATAATCTAATTCATTCTTTTTATCTATTCATCTGTTTGCAGATGGAATGCTGTAAACATTCTGTAGTATATTTCGAGCTGTTTTATAAGTAAAGTTTAAAACTTTGAATTGAACTTTCTATTTCTATTGGAGATTACTTCTTCTGATGTATTATAATTAGCAATAATCATTCTGAGGAATGTATATGCAAGTTCTTCTGCTATACTGCTTTCCTTATAGAAGAGAAAGTAAGCATACTTGCTCAGTTTGCAAACTATTATCAGAATGCTATTATACTGCATTTTGATTAAGAATTCTCATAAGAGAAATAGCTTGATAATAAAATCTAAGCTAATGGATTGCTAAATAGCCATAAGTACTAATAAGAATTGTAGCAATTTATAAAACTTATATCTTTCTGCTTTATTCTTCTTGCAGCTATTGCATTATTATAAAATGCTTTCAATTCTTTTCCTAAAATCTAATAAATTCCAGTATCTTTTAATATATTCATAAATTGCTCTAACTTCCTAATATCTATATACTGATACACTATATATATTCTTAATATAATTATCTTATTTATCTGAAATCATTGATTCTAAATCTTTTTCTGAAAATTCAATTCTGAAAGCAGCATTTAGTTTTCTATACATATTAACAAGATTTCCCAACTCATCTTGAGCAAAGATGTTCTATATATTTGAGAAATCTATATCTCGATAGTCTAATCTTCTGCTAAAAGCATCTGCTTATTCATTCTCTAAGCTTTTGCAGTGCACAATTTTGAAGTTGAACTGTAAGAGAAATTCTGCTTATCTAACTTATTGCTTATTCAAAATCTTAATTATTATGAATATAATCAGATTCTTATAATCTGAGTAAACTATAATTGAGTATTATATATTAATGAAATAGTATTGCTATTTCTTAAAAGCTTTCATTATTGCTATAAGTTTCTAATTAGGAATTCTATAGTTGATTTCTAAGCTATTCAACTTCTTTAAGAAGTTGCTTACAATTCTTAAACATTCTTAGTTATCTTACTGATTAAGTTATTCTCTGAGTATATATTCTGATATATCAGTCTCAACTTCAAAAGGTTTATAGAGATCTGCTTTATACAGAATTAGCTCTAAGATAATATGCTTGATAATCTTATTAAAAGCTTCTTATACTTTGAAGATTCATTCGAAAAGCTGCTTCTTTTTGATAAGATTTATAAGAGAATATGCAATTTAGCTGTAGTTCTTAATGAACTGCTTATAAAAGTTGATATATTTGAGAAAAAACTTAATATCTCTAATATTCCTAGAAACTAGCTAATTCCTAACAGCTTCTATCTTATCTTTCTGTAGCTTAATGCATTCTAGCTTGATTATAAATCCAAGATAGTTAATCTTTTGTATATAAAAGTAACTCTTTGCGGATTTTACAAGGAGTTTTGCATCTTGAAGCATTTGCAATACTGTTTCCATATATTCCTTATATTCTTTAAATATTCGAGAGTAAATAAGAATATTATTAAGATAAGCAATGATAAACTAATTCAGATGCTTATATAGAATATAATTAATCATTTCCTGAAATAAAGCTAAAGCATTCGTTAAACTAAAGAGTATAACTAAATATTCGTAGTATCTATAATATATTCTGAAAGCAGTTTTTTATTCTTCTTCTTTCTTTATTCTAATCAGATTATAAGCTTCTTTCAGATCTAGAACTATAAATCACTGTATTTCTTGCAATCTATCTTGTAATTCCTTAATAAATAGCAATGAATATCAGTTTTTAATTATAATATCATTGAATTGCTTATAATTAATGCATAGTCTAAGCTTGCTATTCTTTTTGAATACAAATAGAATGAGATATTCTGCTAGTAATTGCAATGATTATATATATTCTTTCTTAAGATTCTTATCGAGATACTCTCTAAGTATTTCTAGCTATATCTTATCTAGTTTGTAAATAGAGAAGAATTTGAGCTGTTTCCCTTTTTATAGCAGAATCTTGTAATTGTATAAGCTGTATTCTAGCAATCCTGTATTCAATTCTTTCTGGAATAGTTTCTTGAACTTATAATATTCTTGTAGTATGTTTGCAAGTATTAGTTCTGATCTCTATGCTGTTTCTGCTATCTGAAGGAATAGTAAGTACTGTTGAGCATGCTTCTTTTCTGAGAGCCTTGAGCGTCCGCTCCGGGCTGAACTAAGCGCTCGAGAGCCTGGTTTCGAGGTTTTTCCCATATAGTTCCACAATTCACATTCTGAAGCTTTTCCTTATCGCTTCAGAGCAAACCAACTTGCTGAGAGTCTTGCTTCTATTGTTTTGCTAATCTGTTAGCATCCTAGCACTGTTTGAATTCGCTTGTTACTAGATTCTTCTTCTTGAACTGCCAGCCCTACTAGTTTGAAAGTATGTATGAAGTTGTATAAAGCTTTTTTTCCTGAGTATTCTTCAATTACTGGCTTCGATCCTGCGCTGTTGATTATAATTATCTCTCTGGGTACAGCTTGTTTCTATGAGATCTAGCTAGTAGTTTAATCGATTCGAGAATTGTATTCCTTAAGCTATAGAAGCTCTATAATTAGCTCATATTATACTGTATTCATAATATCAAAGGAAGCTCTGATTATATATTTTTGGATTAAGATAAATAGATAATTAGTTTTCTTATTGATTATTTCTTGGTTATATGCAATAGATTGTTCTTCTATAATGCTGAGAGTATATAAGTATCTCTTTCATCTTTATTATAGTTGTGCTTGATTGATAATATATAAGAATATAAAGTTTCTTTAAGTATTACTATTCAATAGTATACTATATTTATATTCTTAAATATATATATTAAACTTAATATAAGCATAATCTGTTCTGAAAGCTTTATATAAGAACTGTTCTAATCTAATCATCTGCAGTTCCTTTATAAGCAATTCTATTCTTTTGAGTTTATTAAAAACTACTTATTCTTCTAAGCTTGCTTTACTGCTTCTTAAGCAAGCTTCTTAGCTTACTTTTGCTTATATTATTATTATTCCTAGTCTTTCTTCTATTAATACTAGTTGCAGATCTTATTATTAATATGAATTATATAGAGCATTGTTTTGCATTGCTACTATTCTATTTTCTTGTTTATATATTGCATAGAACAATTGTTTAGTAGTTCAATATATACATTATAATACTATCTATTAAGAATCTTTCTAAAGCAAAGTTTCTATTCTTTAACAGCTTAAAGGATTTATTCTGATTCTCTAATGGAAAACCATTTATATTGCATCTTATCTGAGAAATGTATTCTGCAGCTATAATAGATGCAGGAGATCCATGCTAGTTTGTGATATAGATTGTGAAGTAAGCTGATCCAAGAATCTTTATCTCCTCATGCCTTAATGTTCTGCAAGGGAATGCAGATAAAGAGCTTTTCCAGCTTCATTCTGTAAATGAGATATTCAATCCATATTGTTTTCTTATTTTACTTAATGCTGAAAGGAAACCTTCCTATAAGTTTCTTGAATTCATTGTTCATAAGAGATTTGAATGAACTGTTGAATTGCTCATTCTAGCTTAATCTTTCTATTGCTTAAGAAGCGTTTTCAGTATCATTTAGATATTTATACTAATAACCAAGAGAGTATCATTTCTTATTCATATTCCTAGTTATAATGCTTAGTATAAGTAATGAAGAATGTTGAAGAGTATTGTTATAACTCATTCAACATGCAGGTCACCCGCTAGAACACCCGGAACAACTGTCCGAAAAGACAGAGAAGGATTCAACATCTCAAGAACTAAGGCTTATATAAGCAAGAGTTAGGGTTACAGGATCAGGATGGATCAGTGGCTGATCCATGGTAATCCGGATCAGTTGAATCACTCAGATGATCCAAGGGATCCAATAATCAATAATACTAATAGAACTGAAGAAGCTGAATATATAAGAATATGTTTATTCTCATTAGATAAATCTTGTATATAGCTCTTCAGTTATTAATCTAAATATTCAGTTTTATATACTAAGTAGTTTCAAAGGCAGTAAATACTTGTATTGCTTATTAGAACTTATATAGTTCTGTATTCAAGAACTTAATACTTCAATACTGCTCTTATTAGCATAAATCTCTTTGTATACTTAGGAATCTTTGAATTGCTGCAGTGCTTATTACATTTTGATAACTTTTATTCAAGAA